AGATAGGGTGTCAGATACATCTCTTTATTGAAAGAAATCGGTATTCCATGTTCTGTAAGAAACATTAAATGGAACTGTCATCCGGGCGGACAAAGTCTAACGGCGAAAAACAGCTCCTATCCGAACAAGGCAGTATAACACTGAGCAGAGGCACACGATAATCGATATTCTTTTGAGGCTGGTTGACAAAAGGATTGCTTGGTGTATCTTTCTAAACCCCTTTTGAAAGAGCTCTAAGATACTTCATTTCGTTATTGCCGATACTTCTTCCTGCAATAGTTTAGTGCTCTTGCTCACCAACATTAAAGTTGAAGTCTTTAAAAAAGCAAGATAATGACATTGCTACTGCTTTTCCTCGATGAAATATTGTCAGTGTAGCATTTCTGAACAGTCTTGGAGTAAAATAGACATATCCCTCAAAAGAAAAGCACCTTTCATAAATAACCGCAATTTATCTGTATCGTAGTCAATCTCTTGATGATTAGAATTACTCTACTATTTTTTGTATAACTTAGTAAAACAGGTCTAGAGAATTAAACATTCACTTTTTCTTGAGCATTCTGGGGTTGTTAGCGATTTTTCATGGCAATAAACCACAGCCAACATGAGCACTATCATTTGCATGCTCCATTCAAATGTCTCTTTAGATATTCAACAAAATCTTTCCTGCATTTCCGATGCAAAATTGCTCCATGCGATTTCTCATGTGCAAGCAGTTTCTTAGCGCTGTTAACAATGCGCACTCGTATACTGATACCTCTACGGCATAACATAGTATCACCCCAGCGTTCGCGCGTGAGGGTTCTACCCTCCTGGACATTATCAGAGGATGATTTCGAGTACTTAAGTTCTGCTTACAATGCCATCATGGTACTTGTTGCCGGTGGTACTATTTCCACTCATAAGAAACATCGCCGAAAGCCGTTCGTCAGTCTTCATTTTGTAGACATAAATCCAAGCAATCAAAGTCATCGCCATATTTAGCATGACTGGCCTCAACAGTTTTGATACCTGAAAGAGTGACTGTTTGAAACTGGATGTGCTTCTGAATTCCTCATGGACTCACTTCACCAAACTGGGAAACAAGGCGGCAGGTGAGCCGGTCGCACTGACACGTCGTTCGCATCTTTTTTGGTAGAGCGTGATTCATACAACTGCTTGAAGGCGATCACCAAAGCAAATCATACCCACCTCCGGATTAAATTTGAGGATAAAGATTGTTAACGTTTTGTTTACTAATGAGTTAGACCTGTCAATACCTGTATCGAACGTGGTGATGCTATAACTTATGTGCTTGCATGTGAACGTCGTGAGACGATAGTGGAAAGGTAAACCCATCTTTATTATACTTGGGAGATTTTAACTGCTGATAGACCACGTATATCGATTCTCAGAGGATTGCCAGAAACTTATTAGAGGTAATGGAAGCATTCTCACCAAATTCTTCAGATTTTTGTAAGAACAAACCACTTCCCATCTCCCCAATTACTTCTCCCACTGTTTTTGAAATCCAGATTTTTTTAGTTTGGGAATGAGTCAAAAAAGCCTTAAAACCAAATTTCGATTGAGTTTGATTAGTGAGAAACTGCCAGCCTAGAAAACAAATTGGTCGGTTAAACGAGAAATACTTTGAAAACACTAGGCTAAATGCATACTCAGACAGTTACGAACACACAAAGTAAGAAAAAAAGCAAGACTTCTGCTATCACAAAATTATTGGAATTTGAGAAGGTCTTGATTTCTAAGGGGGAGAAAATAACGTATAAAGGGTTGGAACTTTGGCGCAAGAAACTCCAAGAAAGTTTGGGTCTCATTCAAGAATTTATTGGGTTTAGCAAATCTTTTGCGCGGTTATACATAAAATGTAGTAGTTGA